TTGACGAAGCCTCTCCCTTCGTCGAAGCATGAGGGTCATGTTAGGGATATGGACATTAGATGTTTAGCAGTTCATGATTAGAGCAAGTGGGAGATTGTTGGTTTAGTGCTCTGTGATGTACTGATTATGAGCTTTGTTCAGATACATTCGATGTATTGATACTTTCTATGTGTTTTTATGAGAGTATTTTATTCATTACATGTTCTTGCATGCTAGATCTGTTATGAAATCCATGTATCATTATGAATGATACTAAACTCCCTAGTCTTGTGTCGTTATGGGAATAACGACATAATAAGACTAGTATGATGTGTGATTGATGATCACATAGATGATCATAGGTATTGGATACGATCACAATCATAGGTATTCGTTGCAGAACAGAATACTGGACTGACCCGCATGAGATTGTCACATGGACTAGCGTCATGACTTGAATCTCATATGACGGTTCCATGATTGGATCCTAAGACCTGAGATATCTACGGAATCCAACATGAGGAGGTGCGTGTTTTGATTACGTCAAACGTCCTGCGTAACAGGAGGACTATAAAGGCGTGTATCAGGTACGAAAGGAATCATGTACTGGATTGTAGATAGTCAAGACGAGATTTGTACCTCTCGTAAAAGAGAGAGATATCGCTGGGCCCCTCGTGTGAGCGAGACTGTAGAAATGTGTGGCCGCACTATAGACGAACGTCGTCTATTTCAGACAGTCAAACTCAGTGAACGAGAAAGCAGTCGAATCAGATAAGGTGGCTTGTCCATGCCTTATGTTCGACACATGATATCGCGATACAAAAGGATCATCAGCCGGAATCATCATTGGAGTTCGTATGATCACGAAAAAACTCTATTCGAGATAGGTAGTCATAGTGTCTTGCTAGAGACCGCCTATGACTTGTATATCCGGAATAGAGATTTCGAATGAGCCTACAGGGTCACACACGCATGGAAGGAAAAAACGCGTGAGAGAAACTACGGAAAAACCAAGACGGAAGGGTCTGGAACGGACGGACCAGAAGTCCAGAACGGACGGTCCGCCGAGCCAGACCCGACGGGCTACTACTTCTACATTTCGGCAGAGAACAAAGTGTTCATTACTAGGAATGCGACTTTTATAGAGCGAGAGTTCGTCTCCAAAAGAGTCAGTGGGAGTAGGACGGTCTGCGTGCGTTTCTGGACCGTCCGTTCCGGGCTTCAGATTTTCCGAAATTAAACCGAATTAGGGTTAAATCACTTTATAAGGAGATTAAAAACCCTAATAGAGGGGAGACGACTAGAGAACACTTTGAGTAGACTTTTGGTGAGATCCAAGAGCTTGAGAGTGTGATCAAAGTCCGTTTTTCTCAAAGCACAAAACGGATAGAAGATTCGAGTCCTAGCAGACAAGTTCCAATCGTTGGAATCCATCCCGAAGTGTGGATACGTGTAGAGGGCGAGGTATTCTTCCTGCCTTTCGTGATCAGACGTGTTCTTCGATTGATACAGGCCCCAGATCGATTGAGGTAAGCGTTCTAACGTTTCTACAATTCAATAGCAGCATGGTTCTAGGGTTTCATTAAATTTTTATTTATATTGGCTATTTTTTTTGTTAACGGTAAATATTATATATGTAAATGATCGTACAAAACAGATTATTCAAAGATGAGACAAATATTAAAGTTCACAATAGCAAAATAGAGTAGTAAATCAAAGAAAATTGAAAGTTAATTAATAAGTAAAGAAAATTGAAAGTTTATTTGGAAATCAAGCACGAGCTCATCGGCGATTCCTAGAGTTGCATGGATTGAAGTCTGCAAGTCAAAATCTAAGGGAGGACTGGGCATCTGCAAGTCGGTTCCTGCGCTGCTCATTAGGCGATGGTAAGAAGGCTATGTTTTGGTTTGATGTATGGACAGATCTAGGCCCCCTGATAGAGTATATTGGTGATGGAGACCCTCGACAGTTGAGGATCCCTCGTGGGGCCAAGGTAGCATATGCAGTTTCCGACATGGGGTGGTCTCTCCCGGCAGCAAGATCGCAGCGAGTGTTGGATCTCCACATCAAGTTGTCCTCGTTACGGCTACCCATAGCGGCACATGGCCCAGATAGATTTGAGTGGATGAGGGATCCCAATATCTCTGTCGGTATCTTCTCCTCTGCAAATACATGGAAACTCCTTCGTCAGCCGTCACCTGAGGTGCCTTGGCACCCCCTGTCTTGGTTCTCTGAGGGGGTACCCCGATATGGCTTCATCCAATGGTTAGCTCTACGTGGTCGCCTACCGACACGAGATAAATTGTATCGTTGGGGGGCAGTGGCGTCCTCTACATGCCTACTTTGCAGCTTGGAAGAAGAATCTCACTCCCACCTCTTCTTCCGGTGCAACTACAGTACGCATGTATGGCACAGATTCGCCAGGTACATTTGGAACTTGGCGCCACTAGACTTGCATGCCACTGAGGCCTGGATTCGTAACCCGGGTAATGATCAGTCACGTAACCGCTGCCTTATTGCTTTAATCTTGCTCCAATGCTCGGTCTACTTGCTATGGTCAGAAAGGAACACGAGGATCTTCCGAGGTGTGACATCTACGATAGATTCCCTATGCGGCAAGCTGAACGCCATGGTCCGAAACTGCATACTTTCACTTCTCGGCTCTAGCCGAAGGATCGATCCTGCTCTTCTAGCTGATTGGTACACCATTGTTCTCTCCCGCTGATAGCTGCTTAAACACGTTTTTCTCTTGCATGTTATGGTGTCAAACTAGTGGCACATAAGTATCTTCTTTTGTACGGTATTCGGTTTTAACCGATTTTGTATGCGAACTATTTATTTATTAATATATTTGTACCTTTTATAAAAAAAAAAAAGTAAAGAGTGTATAAACTGAGAACGATAAGTGTTATGCAACGTATTCTGCAAGTGGGCGATATTGGATGGTAAGAGTCACAAGTCTGTTTTTTCTCTTTGGAGTTTTTTCGACCAATGAAATCTGTGGGATCTAGATTGATGTTCACAACACGAAAACATATAACACGCTGAGTTGCTTGGTAGTTGAGTCAAATGCCTTTTTTTTTTTGCTCTAAGTAAGAATTTCATCAATGCCAATCAATTTTTTTTATTAGAAGTCCAAATTAAATTGTTTAAATCTTGTATCATATATAAAGTAAGTTTTATATTTAAATTTTTTTCCATTGTTTAAATAATTAAAATAATTATAAAAGATTTTGGTGTTGTTCTATCAAAAGATTTTTTTGTCTAAATTAAGTTAAACCATTATGATTGTAGTACTTATTATTCGTCTGTTAACATAGATAATATTCTTTCTGTGATATGTATTGTATTATTTGTAGGGTATATGGTTGGGCTTAGTTGGAAAAGGCACGACACGTATAGTATATAAAATTTTGAGGAATACAAAAAATTCTTAATATTACGATTCTTTCATTCTTTATTGACGTTTTAAGAGTTATTAGTTGTCATTTTGGCTCATTTCTTGTGAGTTAATAAATAATAGAATAGATAAAATAATGTTAAAAAATAAAAACATCAATAAAAGGAGTTAATCATTCATTAACATCAATTATTTATTTAATTATGTAACGATAGGAAAAAAACAATGTTTTCCCCTATTTTATTTTATTTTGGGGGGGTCGCTCATGACAAATGGATGAGAACAGATGAGAGTTTTTCAATTGGGTATATAATGTATCCAGTTTCATTCAAGATATTCAAATTCTGCACCAAAACTCATTGCTTTTTTTTTTTTTTGTGGGGGGGGGGGGGGTATTCTGTATATTATGTTTTAATGCGTTCATATGAAATTCTAGATAATTACAGACAAGTCGTACTAAATAAAAAAACCATTATTTTTTGTCCTTTAAAACCTGAGAAATATATTGGCATTGAAAACAAATACAAGATGGCAAGTTATAAAAACTAAATATTAACCCTTCTCTGGAATTTAATTCACATCCATGTGCTTGGTTTACTACTTAAAAAGCAAGATGGATATATGAAAAAAATTATATATAGCAATATAAAATTTTAAAATACATCTCACTATTCATCAGACATCTGTTATCGAAATATTCTGACTTTAAAATTATTATAGAATATAACTTAAACGTTTTTGACAATTTTATTACCACGGTGAAATACATCAGATATAGGATTTTGGTCATTACATCAAGATGTACATTCATGAATACAAAGCAACACGTACGAAAAAAATATATAGCAATAAAAAGTTTAAAATACATCTCCGTCATAAATATGGCACGTTTTGTTGAAATATTTGGCCTCTATAATTATAAAAGTAAAAAATAAACCTTAAACGTTTCGACGACGAGACATATGATATGGAAAATTTTCAGTCTTTTATGTAAAAAAAAAAACGGAGATCTTTATTACAAGTCTGGATTTTTGAAGCAATAGAAGATACACAGTGGATGGTAAAGAGCTTTGTATCACAGTCACGACTTATTTAATTGGGCAGAAATTGTTGGAAACAAGATGCCCATATTCGAATACCGGTTTTAGGATTTATGGTTTAGGGGATAGAAGTGAACCGGTTGAACCGAACAACAGGAGTACACTCGAGTGGATGAGCCATGGTCAAGTTGAACAAACCGGTTTCTTCCATGTCAACCTTGTCTCCAATGATCTCCCAATCGAAATGATGAACCATCGTCCCGATCACCATCCCCATCGACAGATAAGCCAAGTTTATTCCCGGGCAAATCCGTCTTCCTCCTCCGAATGGAACGTACTTCAAAGCTTGCTCCTTGATATCTTCTTTCTCTTCCACGGTAGAGGAAGAGGAGACCAAGAATCTCTCGGGCCGAAACTCGTCGGGATCTTCCCATGAATCCGGATCTCTCATTATCGCGTAAGTGTTGACGAGAAACGCCGTTCTTTCAAACACGTCAAATCCTCGGACCTTGCAACGTTCTTTCGACGTTCTTGGCAGGAGAGCTCCGGGCGGGTGTAGTCTTAGCCCTTCCTTCACAACTGCTCGCAAGTAAGGGAGGTTGGGAAGATCTGTCTCTTGGATCGTCCTGTTTTTCCCGACAACGCCCTCGATTTCTTTTCTCAACTTGTCAAGGATGTTTGGATGGTTAATGAGTTCCGCCATTGTCCATTGAGTTGCTACTGCTGAGGTGTCGGTTCCTGCAAGGAACAGTTCCTACAAAATCGCGTTCATCACTCGGTTAGAGCGGTTTCTACATCGAATCTATACAACGGTCGAATCGAATCCAGACTAAACGGAAAAGCTCTATAAGAGGTGATGCCGAATCTTCCAGGTGTTTCAATGGATGGTTTGGAGTGTTGCGACTATTTTATCTATGAGATTATGAACAGTTGTAGATCAAAATATGAATGAAGAAAGGGAAATTACCACTAGAAACGCCTTTATATGGTTCCTTGTGAGCTTGAACTCGGCGTTTTCATCGTGATAAGCCTCCAATAGCAAATCCGTGATGTCTTTCTGCTCTTCGTTCGGATTCTTTTCGTGTTCCACGAGAATCTTCTCGAGAAACATATCGTATCTATGAGAGATGTGCCTCGCCTCCTTCTCGAACCAAGACTTGGCCCCGAGTCTCTTGAAGGAACGGAGTCCGTTCGCTATCAGTATCTTCCTCAATACGCCGTTCGACTTCATAACCAAGTCCTGGATCTCGTTCGCTTCACCGCTCTCCTCGGACCATTTCCTCCCTATTATCATTCGGCATATGGTATTGTTCGTTAGCTTCATTATCTCCTTATGCATCTCAATACCCTCCTTCCTCCTCGCCTTCTCCAACAGATTAACGTAGAATCTCTCCAGCTCTTCGCCCCGGACAAGACGTGATCTCTCCAGATGCTGCGGCCCGAGCAACTTGGTGACGAGGAGCTTCCTCATGAACTTATAGTAATCGCTGTGAGTCGTCGTCATGAAGCCGTAACTGCTGAATATGATCGAATCCTCGATGACTTCGTTATGACGGAACGAGAAGTTCGCGTCCTGCGTCCTGTAGATCTCGTAGGCCACTGAGGCCGACGACACGACGATTATGGAGAAGCCGAAGACTTGAAGACGGAGGAGAGGACCGTATTTGGAGGTAAGCCTTTGAAGGGGTTGGAACAACGGAAACGAGAGGAGAAGGTGGAGGTGGCCGATGATGGGTAGGGCCGGAGGGCTCGGAGGAAGACGAACGTTTGATCTTTCGGATTTCTTGAAGAAGAAGGGAATAAGGAAGAAAGCTGAGAAGATCCATACGAGGAGGGAGACGAAGATGAAACGGAGGTCAACGGCTTCAACCATTGTTTACTAACGGCTAAAGAGCAGTGGTTTGCCTGTTCAAGTACTCCAAACCACAGGTGTGTGTGTATATATAACACGTAATAATGCTTTGGAAAATTATAAATTAGTCACCTTTTGTTTTTTAAAATGAATAATATATAATTATTGTTTTAAACGTTGCTTCTCAATTCATAAATTAAACTAAAAGCCATTTTTCTAGGGGATAAAAGTTTTTTTTTTCTGCGCAAGAGATGGGTATGTAGCCAAAAAAGTTAGAAGTTCGAGTATTGTATCAAATTTATAAAATATTAGATATTGTTTTTTATAATTGTATGGTGCAGGTATCCAATTTTTATTAAAAAAATATATATCTAAATTTACATTTACTTTGTAGGGTGTCACACGAACTCGATTCGATACCATTCACATCAAAACGAGCTAACTCTTTTGGGTTTAGTTCGTTAGGATCGTTTTCAAACAAACCGAAATTTTTTTGATTCATCTCGACTCACCTATTTCACAAATTAAATGAGATGAGTCATGAGTAAAAAAATATATAATATTTTTCTATTTATATTTTGAAATTATAAATAAATAATATTTTAATATAAAAATTTAAAAGTAAAATATTAAGTTGAAGTATATAAAAGAAGTTTTATATATAGTATATAATTAAATTAAGTATTAATTTTCTATAAAATATATAAAAATAGAAATAAAATTTCCAATTTATAATTAAAAAAAATATCTCGGTTTGCGAGACAGTTCATGACTCGTCGAATTAGCTCACTAAAATTCGCGGTTGTAGTGAGTTAGCTCGTTAAGTAACAAATCATTTTCACAAACTAAGTCATTTTGACACCTTATGGATATGTGATATTGTCTTTTCCAACCATCTATCTATACGATTGAATTGCATCGGACCACATCAATAAAATTAAATTTAACCCAAAATAAATTAATATAATTTTTTTCACCTTTAATTTTGACTTTAAGACATTATAATATGTCATGCCACACTAAACATCCTTCATAAAAAATATTGTTTAGAAACTTAACAATTACGCAAAAGCAGTATATTATTAAATAAAGACCTGGCATACCATGCTTTCATATACATAATCCTCAAATCCCAATATTTGTTTTTTTATTTGATTTTGTCATCCTTTTCTTTTAATTGTGTATACGCACACGTTAGCAGTGTGATATCTCCATAATTATTTGAAAGACTAGTAATTATTTTATGAAATTTCTGTTGTAATTCAAGTTTCGGAAGCGTGAATATTGATGTCGTTTTAACAACAAAAGAGATAGTTAAACCAAGTAATTGAATAATAGGACAAATACACCAATTATACAATATGAAGCAACATATGGGATTCAAAAAATTTACTATTTGCACAGAAATGAAAGGAATTTATTGTTATATGTATCGTCGATAAGACTTGAATTTAAAATAATTACAAGTCTCCAACAAAAATGTTATCTTTTTTTTTTAAGACCATGGCCCCAGAAATGTCCCGAAGTATTGTAATGTCTGAAATTTCGAAAACAGGGCAAGACGCGGAATGAATCGGAGAGTTTGCGGGGAGCAAAGGAACAGCGGACGTGGAAAAGGAAACCATTCGACAATCTACAATTCCAAAGAACGTGGAAAAGTCTCAAGGAGGAACAATATTGATAACTTTTATAAACTGAAAACTATCGCAAAAGGGAAAATCTAAAAAAAAACACTTAACTTTACAATTTTGACTATAAAAATACTGAATTTTATTTTTTGTCAAATAAACATTAAACTTTTTAAACGAATCTAAAAAACACTGAACTTTATAAATGATCCAAAAAATACATAAACTTTTCTACGATTATAAAAAAAACACGGAACTTTTTTAGTGATCCAAAAAAATACATGAACTTTTTTCGATTGTAAAAAAAAACTAAGTAAAATAATCTGACGTGTTTGCATCTTATTGGGTCACGTCATTCATTTTGTTTATTTTGACAATCGTAGAAGAGTTAAGTGTTTATTTTGTCAAACTTAAAAAGTTTAATGTTTATTTGATAAAATAAAAAGTTCAATGTTTTTTTTGTCAAAATTGTAAAGTCCAGTGTTTTTTTTGAGATTTTTCCCACCATAAAACCTTTCATTATTACAACACAAACACATACAAAATATTATCAATACACACATTTTTCTTACTATTTGGTTTTTCTCGTTCTTTCAAAGAGACATCCTTTGTGACAGTTCGGATATCGTAGAAGGACGTTGAATGATCGTCGGTGCGAGAGGTGTTGGGGGCAACAGTTGTTGACGATGATAATACTCCGGAAATTCAAACGATTCCAGATAAGTACCTGAAATAAAAGATTATTTTGTCGAGGCGTGTCAAACACAGTTTCCTTAAGTTCGATTTTCGTGCCACCTCTAAAACTTCGAGGCTATTGGAGCACGGTGAATTCCCAGGATCCAACAATCCCCACAAGAATCAAAATAAAGCCTTGAATTAAGTGAATCTAAATGCATCTCATGCAACTAATGCATTGTATGCAAATGATGTGCAATACAAAATTCGCTCATAGAGAGTTTACTGTATCCGAAAAGGTAGTTTTACCTTGGAACCTTCCGTAGTGAAATATATCGGATGTATTTGCTAAACAATGAACGCGATGTCTTGAACTATTCAGCTTTTGTACACACCAAGACAACAGTACTCACGCAGTATCCTCTCTCTCTCGTTAGTCCATTTGTTGCGCCCATTATGGCCTTGGAATAGCACCTGATAGATTTCATCAAATACTCTAGAAAACTAGTCCTTTTGTCATTCTCATAGAAGCGACCCATTTCATGCTTGATTTAGGAGATTTCTCTTTGAGAGTATCTCAATATACTCCACTATCGTAGGAGATAAGAGAATCTTTAAGAAGATAAATTCAACCTTCCCAATTTGTATCACTCTTATCAAAGGAATGTGAAGAGATATCAGTTTCGAGTGATCCCATCGACCCCCCACAATCCGGTTGTCCTATTGAACCTAACACTGGTGGTTTGTCCTGATAGGTTGGGTTACCATCATGGTGATTTGTTATTCTATGGGTTTTAATCTCATTTCCCTCGATAATATTTCTACTTGATCTCTGTTAAGATCTTTGGTAAGAGGATCAACCAAATTATCTTTTGATCTCACAAAATCAATAGATATGACTCCATCTGTCAGTAATTTTCTAACAAAGTTGTGTTGTCTGTGGATGTGTCGCGATTTTTCCTTATAAACATGGCTTTTTGCCCTTCCTATTGCAGACTGACTGTCGCAATGTATGCAAATTCCAGACACCGGTTTGGGCCATATAGGAATATTTTCAAGAAAGTTTCGAAGCCACTCAACTTCTTCACCAATAAGGTCTAAAGCTATGAATTCAGATTCTATAGTGGATCTTGCAATACACGTTTGCTTAGAAGATTTCCACGAAATAGCACCTCCACCAACAACGAATATATATCCATTTGTGAATTTATTCTCATTCGAATATGAGATCTAGTTCGCATCATAATATCCTTCTAATACTATTGAATATCTTGTGTAGTGCGGTCTGAGACACCCGTATCCCGCTTCCCGTTAACAGGATGCGCCACATGGACTAAAATCAACTAAAATAATACCAAACCGAAAATACGGGAATTTTAAAACTTTTTAGCCATAATACGCAGCGGAAATACACACGATCAATATCGCAAAACAACACATGTCCGAATAGTAAACGCACATCGTAAAAAAATATGGGAATATAATTCCCGTAGTCCAAAATACAAAACCCGTACATGATGCTGCCTCTCTCAGGTCGTCGTCGTCCAATGCACTAGGCGTAATCCTCGTGATCTGAAAAATATAAAACCACGAGGGCTAAGCACAACTGCTTAGTGAGTAGCCCGGGTTGAACCCGGTAAACTCGTTCTCATCGAGAACAGTGTTAAAACGATAATTCACAGTCAACAAACAAAAAACAATATATATATAACATGCATAACATTCACCACAACCATATCAATCACAAACATACCCGTATGGAATCCTCCATAGGGTTTCAGCCCCATATCCTAGCCAAGTCAGCATGGCTAGGGGCGCACCACGCGCACCCGTCACTCGCGTGACGTTGGCCGTCGCGTCACCTGCGACACACGCGTATCACGCGCTGGTCACAATCGTGACCACCCGATGTCAACTCAGCATGACACAGACGGGAAAGTAACCACACCCGTATGGAGTCCACCATAGGGTCCCGACCATAGCCCTAGTCAAGTCGGCATGACTAGGGGCGCATCACACGCCCGTCAAATCCATGACGTTGGTCGTCGCATCGCATGCGACCATATCCCAATCACAATCACGCTTACTCGTACCGCACGAGCGAGCTACAACCATGGCAAACATCGATCATGCATATTAACCCCAGTACAATCATGCGTAACCCGGTATTCGGCCCCGACCGTTACACCGTTTAACGCCATACAAACTACCCAAAAATAAACACACAACGATTCACTCGCGATGTTTATCCTCACGTCTCACCATGCGCAATCATCCAGTTTATTCGGATTTATTTTCTCTTTTATCTCAAGTTGGTCCAAACCGAACCAAGATTTGGCCCGGTGGACCAAAATTCGGTCCGGTCGGACCGGATCGGGTCCGTCCCCCCTTCGTTGGTCAATCGGACCATTTTTGGACAAAAACAGGCCTGGTCCGCCGGACCAGAAACTGGTCCGGGTCGGACCAGGCTTCCTCAGCCCTTTCTCCTTGGTCGGGCGGACTAAATGCAATTTTCCGGACTTGGTCCGGAGCTGACCAGTTCCGGTCCGGCGGACCGGAACTGGGCAGTTCGACGTTTCGCGTTTTTCAGGTTTTTGGTCCGACTTCGATTGCTCATAACTCACTCGTTTCTTAACCAAATTGCGCACCGTTTGTTTCTAAATGTTCATTGGGATGTCCTTTTTCATATCCAAGCAATAGATTATTTACATATTCTGTATACATGAAGAAAAAT